CTGGTCTAGACTGTGGGACCATGAGATGCTAAAACTAGACAAGGTTAAAACTCACCCAAAGGAAGAGGTAATTCACTGGAAATACAGAATCAGAAAAATAGTGATCTCATGCCACTGCCTCTGCAGTCAGACTTGGAACGGACTTCAGAGTGCCTCCTTTTGAGAAAGAAGCAAACGTGTATGTATCAAGGGGAAATGCTGGAATAACTGAGCTTCGTGTATTGAGAGGAGGGCATGTTTTCTGCTGGAGGGCTTTTCTATGTTTCTCCAAAAAGTAGGCTTCGTTTGGTTTTTAAAACTGGTGTCAGGTTCTTGCCTCTTCTGTGACATTGGAACTTGTGGTCTGTCAACTTGTGGCTCTGCACCCAGGAAGAATAAGGCCAGTGGATGTCAGTAAACATGTGATGTAAAGGTAAGAAAAAAGGGGGAGGAGGGAAAAGGAGGAGAGAGAGCTTTTAGTTTCAAATTCACCTTTCTCTTAAAGATTAAAAACATCAAAGAAGAGTTGGAATAAGAGTTAATTTGTTGTAAGCTATTGTCATTTCTGGTCTAATCTATGGCTCTAACTTTTAGGACGGCATTGCTTGTTCAGTGAACAACTCAGGGGCATTCAGAATGTGTTTCTGTATTGGTTTGCTCTCTGTTGTCTTTATCCGCTTGCACAAGGCCGCAGGCAGCGGTCCCGAAGCTCCCCTTCACACACCTGCCCAGTTAAGGCAGTTTATAGACACTGACTAGACTACAGGGTCTCAATTCCACATTCTGGGGAGAGGGTGTGACTGGCTCAAGTTGGGACTATACACAATTCTGTTCTAATCAATTGTAACAGGGGCTGGACTCTACAGGATAAATAGGGCCACTGTAATTCCAGTAATAATAGAAATATTATTACAAATATTATACCTTTTAATAGTAGTACATAAAATACTGCTAATAGGAAATAGTGTTATGCAATAGCACGAAAATGCATATTGATAATGACATTTATGAAGGAGTTGAAATGTAACTGTCCCAAACTGGGATAGACTGAAAAAGGGTAAATTCCTTTATTTTCTTTACTTAATCTCCCTTTTGAGTTTCCATTTGTGCTAACTTGGAGAGCTGTGAGAAGTTCACCTTGCACTGAAGGAACTCAGTTCCTTCCCTTCTGGGAAGAGGAACCACTTTCGCAGTGTTTCTTTCTCCTTTGCCTTCCCCTGTCCTCCTCAGGTGTTAATTCAGTTAGGAAAATGGGTCAGGGTCTCTCAATAAATAGTTCAAAAGAGGATGTTTAACATGGAAAACTAACTACAAAGACATCAGGACCATTGAAAGACCACGTGTGACAGTGAGGCAAACACAGACGCCCCTGAGAAAAGGCAGGGACTGCCCAGCAGGAAGGGGGGACCCTGGAGGGAAGGGTGGTCTCCCGGAAGCTGAACCCACTAGAGAAATGAGGCCCAGTGAACAGGAGGGAGAGGAAGGAATGCCTGGGCTCCCTCCAGTCTCTCCTCGGTCCCCCCTTGGCTGAATATAGCCAGAGTCACTGGGCAAGGGAAAATGGGGAATGGCTGGTAAAGGTCAGCTCCAGCTGAACAGGGGACAGCAGGGAGACAGATCTCACAGTCAAACATCTAGCTCACACTTGCAGCTACAAATACCAGACCCAGCTGGGTGGCTTGATTAGAAGTCTTACCAGATGGGAGAGTGGGCAGAGATGCTGATGGCTCCACCACACTGACGATGTGTGTTCCTTCCCCCTCTGAGCTCCACCATCTATCTTCACAGCAGCCCATCCCTCTGGCTTGTTCTTCCCATGGCTCGTGAAGGCTCAGCTCCCAGGCAGCACAGACAGACGTGATAACATTGAGACACAGCCTATAATTTTATAGGCCCCTCCAAATTCCCCACACCTCCTTGGAGGTAACTGCGCCACATGCCCAGCCTATGCCGCCCGTGGGCAGGAGGGAACGGCCCGCCCAGATTGGCTTGTCTCAGTCATCATTTTCCCCCATGAGCTGGGAATGAGTGTTGCCTCCTAAAGGACATAGCTGGGGAAAAGGAAAACACTGGAAGAAAAATCCTGGTTTCTTAGAGTAGGGATGGGAGGGGGGCTTATGAATATTTACGGATAGGAACATGGTGCCAGTTAACTGCTTTTCCCTGTACATTTTTATTCACCTGACCTCTCTCCTACTCAGCCTCAGGCACCACCTTCCTGCATGCCTGAAGGAGGGAGGTGGGAAAAGAAGAAATTAGGACTAATTCGACAGGAACCTAAAGAATATTACTCATTTTTTTCAAAAGAGAATTTCTAAAACAGGCTTAAATAACCAAATTATATGCCTTCAGTGAATAGGTTATTTATGTACATGGTCAGAAATAACATTGAACATATTTAACAGCTGGAGCCAAATGGGCACTGGCCATTCAGGCAGGATGACCCAACAATCAGAATGGTTAGGGTTGAAAGGGCTAGTGGGCTGTACCAGCGCAAAGCAGCCAAATATCCACACTGCACATAGTTCCAATTTAAAAAGACACCAAAGGGTAGACAGTGAAACATGACTCTCCCCCTCATTCCATCCCCCAGCTTCCCAGTTCACTTCTTCAAAGGCAGCCCCTTTCACCAGCAAAACAGGCTTTTGAGGCCTGCAGTAAGAGAAAGCCAGGCTCGGTCAAGAAATTAATTTTCTACATTCATGTATCTCCCTTGCAGACTTGACTGAAGAGTTTTGCATAGGGGAGGGCCTGATCAGCATTAAGTAGCAAGAAGAAAGGTCTGTTCTTTCCAGTCCCAGGAACTATAGTTGGAATAGAGAGAGTAGGGAAAAGGTGTGTTAGAATGAGAAGGGCACAGAGGGCTTGGCAAGCTGACAGCACATTGCCTGGTGAGCTGTGCAGAAACCATCTAGGGGCAGCACTTTGGGCAAATCTAGTGACATGAATGCCAACCACGGAGGAGGAACAGTCTTCCTCCCAGTGTGACAAGGAGGCCCCTAGGGGATGCAGAGATAGTAGCTGTGCATAGATCATGAGGGGCCTGCCGGGTTGTGGGTCCAGGATGATGGTGGCAGACACTCAGCGTGTCCCACAGTGTTGGTGAGGCCGAATCAACAAGAGCACAGCAGGGCCTGGCCACAGCTGAAACCAGCTGGAGTAGCCTTGCCCAGCAGGGAGTGGTTGCAGAGTGCCCAGGAGCACTTTGCAGAAGGCAGCCAACGTTGACCTCACTGCAAAAAGTCCAGCAGTCACCTATCCCTTGTGCTCCCTCAAGCCTTCCAAATGTCATTTTGAGGGAAGCAGACTGAGGGAGATGGAATATTAAAAGATTGAATGTTTTAACCTAAACTTATAGGAACTGTTTAAATTATTGCAACAGACTAAGTTTATCAAGTTGTTCTAACATTAATGGCTTTCCTCCTACTGCCCAAAGGCAGAGGACGTTTTATTTACACAACTGAATGTTTTTTTGGGTAAATCTGTGACTCTGCCATAGAAGTATCAGGTACGTTTTCATATGAAGTGCTGCAAAGACAGAAAATTGTGTCTTCTGGAGATTACAGTTTACTTTTCTGAGCTTAACTCTTAGAGAGTACATTTTTCTTATATCTGCATTTTTTATGGCTTTCCACATATTACCACTATATGCTCACATCTACACCAAAACACTTAGAATATATGAGGAAGTAATTTTGGGTTAGGGCATGAGTAAGGGTGCCACTCAAAGAGTGAAACAAGTAACATTAAAGTCACAAAATGAATGTCCTGGTTCAGGATTCCCAGGGGGTAAAACACTCTATTAAGTAAAACAAAAACAAAACTTTACTTCCAAAATACTCAAAATGAATAAAATATTATTGGAAATATATTATCAAAAATGAGAATTTTGGGATCCAAGAACCATTTTATGGATGGACTTGAAAAGCACCCAGACTTAAGGCTCTTAGGACCCCTCCCAGCAAGCGCTTTTCCTCCACTCAGGAAATCTGAAGCTAAATTAGCTTTCCTGCTCTGCTTTCCCTGTTCTTGTTAGGGTGGGAACAAACATACAACACATTGTAGTCTGGTAGAGGGAATCAGCTGTTCATTGGACAAACAATTCAGTGAGTACTGTTCTGGGACTGGTCATTTTAAGATGCACATTAAGACTCATTTCCTCCATAAGGTTTTCTCTAAGTCCCCACAAATCCCATTATTCCACTTTGTACCCTCATTATTGTCACTGTTCATAAGAAATGTAGTACTTTGCCAAGTACCCTATTTTTGTCCTTTCGTTTTGATGGATGCCCAAGAGCGCAAACTAGTTGGGACAAAGTTCACGACAACCTACCTAACACCCAGCATAATGCGGAGAACAATGCAGACGGTAAGTGAGCGAAATGAGCGAAGCGATGCGATCCCTGCAGTGCCTCTGTGCGTGGCTCGCTTAAACGACGCTGAGAGCTTTAACGGAGCATAGCCATGAAAACTTTCTTTTCTCACGCTGAACAAGGATGCTTTATGATGTACATTTTCCTTAGGTGCTTCCTCGCGGCTGTGGCCCCGTCCTAGGTTTGTCCATTGTGAGGACACACCAGGAATTAAGCGCCTATTTTACAAAACAGAAACATCTAAATTAGTAATGTTGGTGGTCTGCCTAGATCGACGCTTCCACCTCGTTTTCCTTCAGAGCTTTCGAACAGCACAGCCAAGGTGTTGGGGGAAGACGCCTCTGGGACTGGGACGTGATCGCACTGTTGGGGCGACGCTGAAGCCCTCCCCGGGGAGTTCCTCCGTGACTGCTCCCCAAATGAGTAAGACCCGACGAAAGCTGCTCCTTGCTCTTAACGCCTCGACATAAGCAGGGCATTCTGACAGCGGCAAACGGCAAGGACCACATCTTGAACATGAAGGGGATTTTTTTTGAGGAAGAAATCCTCGAAAAACCCAATACACTAGACAGAGCGGCGAGGAAGGCTGGGCGCCGGCGGACCAGCCGCTTAGGTCACAGTCCGCCCTAGCGCCGCGCGCCGGTTGCTATGGACGCCGCCGCCCGCCGGGACTCGGGGGCCGCAGCGCCCTGCTGCGGGAAGGGGTCTGCGGGCGGCGGTGGGACCCCGGCGCAGCGTGAGCCGGACCGGTGAGCGGGGCCCCCCCTGCCCCCACTCCGTCCCGGCTCGGCGTGATGCCAGCGGCGGCCAAACCGGCAGCCCGAGGACGGCGCCCACAGCCTCTTTACCGCGCGCCGGGGACGTAGCTGCGGTCCTGCCGCTCCGCGGCTCCCGACGCGCGTCTACGCTGGAGGAGAGCGGATGTGGACAGCGAGAGGGGCGGGCGCGGTCCCGCGGCGGTTGAGGAAAGAGGAGGCCGGCGCGGGGCTGCCACCAGGGCGCGGAGCCAGGTGAGGGAGCGGGCTCGGCGGGACGCCGCGGGCTGGGGCGCCCTCACCAGCGAGCCGGCCGCTCCCCGCCAGCTCCAAGCCGTTCGGGAGAGCGAGACTGAAGTCGCCCGCCGCTTTCTCGCCCGCAGCGTATAGCCGGCAACGCCTTTCGCCCTGCCCCGCGGGAGAAACCACTGGAGGGCCCGGCCTCCCCCGCGCGGCGGCCTGCCCGTCCTGGGGCTATACTCTTGGGCCGCGTCCCGGCAC